ATATATATATATATATATATATATATATATATATATAAATTGTGCCAATGAGAAAATATTTTTTAAAAAGTTTAAGGACAGAGCTAGATATGGTAGAATGCTCCTATAGTCCCAACTACTCAGGAGACTGAAGCAAGAGGATCACTTGAGCCCCAGGAGTTTGAGGCTACCCTGGGCAGTGTGGCTAGACTACATCTCAAAACAACAAAAAGAAACTTTAAAAAAAATTCTTGGCTGAAGTTGTAGCTCAGTGGTAAAATGCTTGCATAGCACGTATGAGGCACTGGGTTTAATCCTTAGTACCACATAAAGATAAATAAATAAAATACAGGTATTGTGTTTTATATTTTTGAAGATAGCCAAATTGAATATGTAAACTTTTATATATGCAAATATATAATATAAATTGTTTCTAGCTTTAGTTTTTTTACTACTTAAGCTACATGTTGACATTTAAAACTGTACTTTATAAATTATATTAAATCTTAATTAGAAGTTTTGCTTGTTTTGGGCCAAGGGCATAACTCAGTGGTTGATCTTGTACTTTGCATGCTAATAAGATGCTGGGTTTGATCTCCATACAGAAAATTTTTTTAAAAAGTATTACTTAAAAAAAAATCAATAAATAAATTTATAAAAAAGAAGAAACAAAAACGAAAAAGGAAAACAACAACAACAACAAAAAGGTGTCTCTTATTTATTCTACTTTCATGTTTCATAAAATGATTTTGTTAAATTTTATAGAAAGATGAGTTTTTTTTTCTGTCTTATGTGTCATTGACATATTCTTTAAAGTTTTAATTGAAAGGGAGATATAACTTGTAATTAGAAGATCATTCTTAAAACTAAATGTATTAATTTTTTTCTTTTTTTTAATGTAGAACACTTTGTTCCTTACTTTCTTTCTTTCTTTTGGTGCTGGGGATTGAACTCGGGGGCACTTGACCACTGAGTCACGTCCCCAGTCTTATTTTGTATAACAAAGTTCCTTTTTAAAATTTTTTTGGTCCTGGCGATTGGACCCAGTGGTACTTTGCCACTGAGCTACATCCTTAGCCCTTTTTATTTTTTATTTTGAGATAAAGTCTTCTTAAGTGTCTCAGACTATCATAGAATTTGTGATGCTCCTGCCTCAGCCTCCTAATTAACTGGGATTTCAGGCATGTGCCACCATGCCTGGCTCTTTCTCTCATTTCTTTCTCTCTTTTTTTTTTTTTTTTTTTGGTACCGGGGATTGAACTCAGGGACGGTTAACCACTTAGTCACATTCCCAACCCCTTTTTTTTATATTTTATTTAGAGACAGGGTTTTGCTGAGTTATTTAGGGCCTCACTAAGTTGCTGAGGCTGGCTTTGAACTCATGATCCTCCTGCCTCAGCTTCTCTAGATGCTGGGATTACAGGTGCTCGCTACCATGCCCTTTTCCTCATTTCTAAGGGATGGTTTGGGAAAAAAAATAAATTGCCCCAGATTTGAGATTGCATGGTACATTGGAAGTCATAAAATAGATAGATGGGTAGGGGAAAATATAGGGATATAAAAGAGCAAAGCAACTTGAATTTCTTCTAGCTATGCTGTACTTTAGGACACTATAGTTTTGTTCACTAAGTGTTTCTTCTTTTTGCTGCAGGTCTATGTTTGTACTGTGTGCCAAAATGTTTTCTGTGTGGACTGTGATGTTTTTGTTCATGAATCTCTCCATTGTTGTCCTGGCTGTATTCATAAGATTCCAACTCCTTCAGGTATTTGATTCTAGCATGTAGTACATACTATGTGTGCTAAAAAGAAATTTGTAACTGTAAATAAAATGATTCTTTAGAAAAACAACTTGAGAAGAAAATCTGATTTAAGAAATTTTTTTACTAAAAAAAATTTCATAAAATTTTTATTTGTGGGGGCTGGGGATGTGGCTCAAGCGGTAGTGCGCTCGCCTAGCATGCGTGCGGCCCGGGTTCGATCCTTAGCAGCACCACATACCAACAAAGATGTTGTGTCCGCCGAGAACTAAGAAAAAATAAATAAATGTTAAAATTCTCTCTCTCTCTCTGTCCCCCACCTCTCACTCTCTCTAGAAAAAAAAAAAAAATTTTTTTTATTTGTGTACTATCACAGAAATGCCCAGAATTCAATAGTATTTCATTCAATTTAATTTTCTGTTATTTTGAGTCATAATGTTTTCAAGTTATTATGCATTATTATGGGTAAATTACTTATAATGATTAAATTGATGTGATAATCTTGTTTTAAAATTGAAGTGAATATAGAATTTTTGTGTTATAATTTCATAATTTTGTGTAAAATTGAAATAAATTAAAACTTAGTATAAGATGAAAATTAATAGTTATGAAATTAATACATATTATGAAATGATATACTACTACATCCACTAAAGTGTTCTTTTTAGGCTTAACTAAATATTTGGAAGATAATTATAAAGTTAATATGTCTGCAATTATTTGTGACTATTACCAATAGGAGTCTTTAGGCTGAACATTCAAGCTCACAAGACTGCTGTGGTTGCTACCACTCAAAGGAATATTAAACTAGAATAGAAGCCAGGGTGTAGGACATCATCAAATTCTTATTAGCAGTCCAAGTACAATTTAGCAATCAGGAATCATTTAGCAATACAATTGACATTCTTAGCTTTATTAATTACTTAGTAAGAGCTTGAAAGGTTAACTACAGGTGAGATTTAAATACATCAAGAAAAAAGGTCTTATTTAACTCTTTTACTCTCATATGCTAAATCTATTATTTTAAAATATTTTACTTAATAGAGTATGTCTAATTCTAATGTTTTGGTTGTTTGATATCTGAGACTGATTTACCATATATACTTCAAGCTAATGAAACCAAAGTTGTGGTGTCTGTGGTGTCCCTGTTAGCTTCACTGATTTCAAACCCTGGGACTACTCTTTTCAACTTTTGCATTCGGATCATCAAAGAAACTTAGGTGAGAATGTATGATAAAGTCTGTTTTAGGTTCGGTGCAGATATATCATTATAGACAGAACTTTTTTCTAGATATTTCCTGTTGAGAGTGAACAAGTTTTCCATAGCAAAGGTATGTGTATTTTATATCTGTAAATATTAGTCACTCTAGATAGTGTTTCATTATGCAATTTGTGATTTTATAAATAAGAATTCTTAGTGAAAAGTATTATTGGTAAAGATAATGTAATCTCACCCTGGATAGTCTATTCAGTAAATCTTTTGTGAAGTCTAGAAATAAGCATTTTCAGCAAGCACACACTTGAACACACAAACCACAAAGACCTAAGGCAATCAAAGTAATAGGTGTTTCTCTCAGGATTCATATTCCTGAGCCTAACTCAGTAGATCTTTATGTGGAAACCAATTTCAGCTATATATAACCTGGTAATTCTATCTTCTTTCTGTGGTGTCAACAGAGCTATCAGTGACTTATGGGAGATACCTTTAAACTGCCTCCTGGCTTAGAGGGAAGAAAAGTAAACTAGAACCCTATAGACTCAACCTCCCTACCTGATACAAAAGGGACCTCCAAAGTTTATTTTGACATCTTTAACATGTTCCCCTGCTGTAGGGAACAGATGAGGCAGGGCATCAAAGATAGGAGGAAAATAGTTTTATTTGGCTGCAGCGAGGTTCAGAGGGTACAACTTTCACTGTAATCAATTAATCCTCTGAACTCCAAGTTCAGGTAGTGTCAGAACTTTATAGCCAGCATGTAAGGGGAGGGGCTCACAAGTTCACAGACTGCAGAAGATCACAAAAAAGCAGCTTTTTTTCCTTTCACTATTTTGGGCAAGAAAACCCTTCAAGGACAACCACAACACCTGAGAAGGGGAGAGCTTCTCCCCTTTCTTTCCTCCCCCTGTCAGCTGTTACCTTGGAGCCCAATTGGTAACTTCTTTTTTTTTTAGATATGTAGATATCTCTGTGCAGCTCCAGCTCAAGGTCAGAGGCCTTGTTAAAGGATTTTTTATTATCACATTTTGCATTTGCAAACACACTTTTACAAACTACTTATACTGGATAAATGTTTGTGAAAAACCTGATTTCTTCCAGGCCAGTGGCCAAATAAAATAGAGCGACAGGAAAATAGGAAGTTTACGTACATTGAACTCTTTTGTAGAGACTCATTTGATGATGGTCCTAAAATCAATTATGGTGAAGATTTCTGGAGAAGCCAGTTAAGATTTTCTGTGGAGGAGGAGGGTGTCACTACACCCCCATTATGGATTTTATTTACATATACATTATGGGGTTAAGATGAATATTTTAGTTATACTTAAGGAGGAACTTTTTTTTTAAACAGTAATAAAGAAAATTCTTGGCTTGTTTAAGATTGCAGAAATGAGGACTAGGGGTGGTGCTCAGTTTAGAGCACTTGCCTAGCATGCACAGGGCTTTGGATTCAGTTTTCAGAACCATCCACATAAAAATATTGCATAAATAGAAATGGTAATGAAGACAGTTTTAGCCTTTAATTTTTTCCTTGGAAGTCCACAATATATTATTTTAAATACTTTCAAATGTGTACATTTTTGCTTCATATTCTGTTTTATTCAGCCTGATAATCTTTGTCTTTTAAAGCTTTGAACAAACCATTAGCAGAACAACCCCATTGAGTTATTTTTAAAATACCCAACCCCGTAGGAATAACGAGAGTTAATAAATTTACTGTTGTTTTAAGTCGTAAGTGTTGGAATATTTTGTCATATAACAATAGATAACCAGAACACCCTGCCTCTGGTACCAAATTCTAAATTGTTTACTGTTCATTAGGAGAAGCAAAACCAGCATGAGTAATACACTATGCAATTGTTGGGGGATAGGTAAGCAGTCTCTATAAGGCTACAGTTCTGCTACTGATGCTGGACTTGAAATTAGCAGACCCAGCATTTTGGAAAAGAAGGATGAATGTGAAGTAAGAACAAACTGGAATCTGTGAAGACAAACTGGAACTTAAGATGCAAACTGAACACTGCATCTGTTGCTCAAGACCTCCAACCTTAATGATGCAGATAAACTGCAGAATAAGCTGGTGTTCTTCACATAACAATGAAGTGAACTAGCAGATTAGTGGCAATTTGGGTGAGTTGTGACAGCACCTGGCCCCACATCACCCTTTACAATGCAACAAAGTGGCTACAGCTTCATTTCTACATTCCATAAATTTCTAACTCCCAGAGTTAACTCTAACCGTACAGGGAAGGGAATTGTGGGAAATATAGTTCCATTTAAGTTGATACAGTACAAATGCACCACAGGACTGACTACATAAATATGGAAGCACATTTGTTGATAAGGAAAAGATACTCATAAAGTACAGTTTAGGAAGAAAAGCAGATTGTATGGCTATGCCTGTAGCTTGATGGTATAGCATGTGCTTGGCATATGCCATGGCCATGGGTTCAATTTCCATTATAAAAAAAAAAAGCAAGTTATATTACTTACAATATTGTAACAGTTGTCTTCTTCACCTTTTGAAACCTTTTGTATATAGCCCTCACTGCTATGAGGCCTATTTTAAAAGGGACCTGTCTTTCTTTTCCTCTTTTCTCTCTTCTCCATTCTAGCCTGGTGGCAAAGAACAGGATTACCTTTTATTCATTCTAGACCTAGTTATCTGTATTTGAGCACTTGCCCACCACAGGAAAAAGTAATTCACCCTTAGGGGATGGCACCAGATCTAAGGAATTGTTATCTCCCAAATTAACAAGTAAATCATAATCCCCCAGCTTGGTCACCTGGAATGTAGTCTTTGAAGAATTTCTTTAAAAGCCCTCTATTTTCCTAATGGGCAGAACCACAACCTCTGGGACTGGAGTCCTCTGTGAATCTCCTTTGCTAGCAAAACAGTAAACTTTCTTTTTCTTTTTTCTCAAAACCATGTCCTCCTTTATTAAATTGGCATTGGGGATAAGGACCAAGCTTTTGGTAACAAAAAATCCAATTCTTGGGACTGGGGTTGTGGCTCATTGGCAGAGTGCTTGCATAGCACATGTGAATCTCTGGGTTTGATCCTTAGCACCGCATATGAAAATAAATAAAGTAAAGGCATGATATCCATCTACAACTACAAAAGAAAAAAATCTTTAAAAAAAAGTCCAATCTTACATTAATGATATTTGTAAATATGGGAAAAACCTGAAAGAACATTAGTAATACCAGTTAAAATATTTGTAGTTATTTCTGCTTTGATTTTTCTTATAAGCCTTTATTTTATTTTGGTATTTTTCTTATCAATATCATGGTAAATTTCATGTGTTCACTTGATTAGTCCATAGGATGCCCAGATGGAAACATGCCTGAGTGTATCTGTGAGGTATCTACAAATGAGATTATCATTTAAATCAATGGAGTCAGTAAAAAATGAATTACTCTTCCCAAAGTTGGGGTATAACAGTGGTCTACTTTACCTTTTGAATATAGCCCTTGTTGCTTATTTTAAAAGGGACATTTTTTTTCTCCTCTTTCTCCCTTTCTCCAACCTTGGTTTGAGGAACAAGATTACCTTAAGTTATGTGTGCTCCACAGAAAAAAGTTGCCAGAAGAACTAGGAAGTGATTGTCTTTCAAATTAACAAGGAAATTTCAGCACACCATCAGGATGAACCTGGGACCCCCTGAGAGGGCACACCAGGAATGTAGGCTTTGAAGAGCTTCTATATGGGCTGGGTGTGGAGCACTTGCCTAGCATACATGAGGCACTGGGTTCAATCCTCAGCACCACATAAAAATAAAATAAAGATATCATGTCCACCTAAAACTAAAAAATAAATATAAAAAAAAAAACCTCTCTATTTTCCCTGATGGGCAGAACCCCAGCCTCTGGGACTAGAGCTGAAAAGAAAGCTAGGAACCAGCAGACAGGCAAATGAAAGACTGATACAGGCAGAGATACAAACATGAGAGTTTGTCAGAGCTGACAGATAAAGGCACATCTCTCCATAGAAGAGACAGGCAAAACAGGCTTGGAGTTCCAGACTTTTATGGGGTAGGCTCAGGAATTAGAGCCAGGCAGGTCCTAATGTGACAAGTTAAAGGTGGGGTTGGTATGAGGGAGTGGTGAGCCTTTCTCAGAAATGCCCTTGGGTAGGAAAGCAAAATTTTGTTTAAAATGGCGGCTATCACTTAAGATGGCCATCCAGATGCTAAGCAAGGACCTTACAGGAGCCCCCTCTGTTTCTCCTTTGCTAACAAAGCAATAATCCTTCTTTTTCCTTTTTCTCAAAACCATGTCCTCATTATTAAATTGGCATGAATTGGCATAGGACATAAGGACTGATCTTTTGGTAATAGGGACAAGATCCAATCCCTTAGGACCTGAAAAGAACAGGAAGAGGAAGATGGAGGGCTTTAGCTTTTTTCTCCGCTTCATCACTAAAGCTTGTAGTTCTCACCCCATCTTCTACTGGTATAATGTATCTCCTATATCCCATGGGTTCTTTTTTTCTGGGCAACCCTGAAAACACACCTATCTAATTAACCTGCAATATTTACACTAATAAAGAAAAAAAAGTTTTCAGAGATGGTCTTGGAGGGCAGTGTTTATGGCTGTAGTACTCTAATCTCTGCCTCCATTGGCTTCTCCCTGTGTGTCTCCTCTATCTCCATGTGTCCTTTCCTCTTATCAAAACAGCAATGATTGTCGGATATAAGGTGCCTCTACCCACTGACCATTTTTTTTCCTGGTAGGAGGGATGGGATGGAACTCAGAAGCACTAAACTACTGAACCATGTCCACAGTCCCTTTTTTTGTATTTTATTTAGAGACAGGGACAGGTCCCTTGAGTTGCTTAGGGCCTTGCTAAGTTGCTGAGTCTGGACGATCCTCCTCAGCGGTTTTTTTTTTTTTTTTTTTTTTTTTTTTAGGTGTAGACGGACACAACACAATGCCTTTATTTTTATGTGGTGCTGAGGATTGAACCCAGGTCCTGCCTGAGCTAGGGGAGCGCTCTACCACTGAGCCACAATCCCAGCCCCGTGCCTCAGCTTCTTGAGTCACTGGGAATTCAGATGTGCATCAACATGCTGGCCAGTGTGACCTCATCTTAATCACACTTCCAAATAAGGACATATTCTTGAAGCCAGATTTAAAGTTAGGTAGTCAGTGTGATTAGGTAAATCGGGTCTAATACCAAGTGAAATCTAAAATGGAGGCCATGCTGAGAATGATTCCAGGAAACACAGGACAACTCATGGAATGTTAATGAAGTCCTGAAAAGGCCCTAGGCCAAAGTCCATCCCAAAGAAGTGTTAATGAAGTCCTTCCTGCTCAGACTACTTCTTTGGCCCACCTGTGTCCCACCCCTCGGGCCTTCCCACCTACATTCCATCACTGAAAGAAACTATAAAATGGAGAGACAACTGCACTTCCAAGGATTCCACCTCTTGGGTCCCCTTCTTCCTCCGGGAGAAGTCTTTTCTGCTGTCCTTTAATAAACTTCTAATTTCTGCTCTGACCTTGCCTCGGCATGCTTCTTTGGTGTTATTCTTCAACATTGGGGAAGCAAGGACTCGTCACCGGTCAACAGCGGTAACATATGGGAGGTCCCACTGAGATTCTACACCGAGGTAAGTGCATGCACCCCATGTCTGTTTGAGGTGCATCTTTCTTCCTTTCTGTAGGGTAAGGTGGGCACCTGACGGCTACTTAAACGCAATTAGTGCAGCTGCCACTCTTCAAGACTCGGGTGAGAGGTTTCCCGGCCTAGGCAGCTCTAATCACCTGTTCAATACAGAACAGGCATGTTGGGTTCTGTCAAAGCCGCTTCCGACTTTTCTGTCTGGGCCCAGAGAGCAATTGGCGTGAGTACACAGTGTCCCTAATCCTGATCTGCCTCGGATGCATGGAGGTGGAGGAAGGAGTTTGGAACAACTGCGGAATTCTGGTCTGGGCTACACTCAGACGATTCCTAAGGTTCCTTTCTCTTGAGCCTCCTCCCAACATCCCTCAGGGTATCTAGGGTGATTGGTAGATGAATGGCACTGAGGGAAAGCCCCAGTCACGTTTGCCTCCGTGTGGGATATGCAACACTCCCAACCCCATATCCATTCCCTCCTGGATGCTCCCCTTCCTTCACAGGTCAGAAATGTTAGCAATTCAGGTTGCAGGACTGAGAAAGGCATGAGATAATTAGTAAAATCTGCCCAGGTTCCCTAAGATGCATACGTAACTTTCAATAGTCTGTTTTACCGCCCCAATGTTTCAAATGAGCTATATTCTTTAAGCTGCTAGAGAGGCATTTTTAGAATCAACTCCTCCGGTTATCTGCTACCTTACAACCAGTAGATATCCCTTAACACTTAGATGGCTCCTTTAGTCTACAGAGCAAAGGCAACAAAAGAGCGCATGTTTTTCTTTTGCAATGGGTTTTTAGTGGCCGAGAGGAAAGCAGTAAGGCCCTTAAGTCTGAATCCTCCCAGGATCTCTGGCACAGGGCAAACTGAGACCCTAGCACTTTGCTAAGGGGACCAGAAACCCCTTGGCAAAGCAAGGTGAGAGACGGGTTTTCTGGACTGTTTAGGAAGCTCAAACTTAGGGAGATGTCCCTAATGAGAACAGTTTTCTCCGGTGTGGCGTGGGCACCTGAATCCTGTTTTCTTCTCACTCAGACGGGAGCTTCTCTCTCTCCAATACGCCAGGTGCACCACTAGCCTGTGTATTGAAAAATTGGGATAAATTTGAACCTCAGATGCTCAAGAAAAAGCATCTCATTTTCTTGGTCTGGCCTCAATACAAACTCTGATGGAGATCAATTTTAATACAATTTTACAGTTTGATAAAATTTACAAAAAGGAAATGGTATGAGGTGCTGTATGTTTAGATTTTCTTTGCTCTAAAGGAAAATCCTAAATTATGCCAACAGTGTAAAGTAGACTTAGCTATGATATCTGCCATGAAGAGAAAAAATCTTGGACTCACTGAGGAAAATGAATCAAAAGAAAAATTTGGGCCGATCAAAGTACTTACCCCCTTCCCCTTCAAGACCTAAGGCAGATAAAAACTGACTCTATTGGAAAGTTAGGAGATATGCCAGATTGCCTGGGATTGGATTTATCCAAAGGAGCTAATCCTGTAAGTAAAAGGGAAAGTGAGGGACTCCCAGCAGCTGCCAAAGCCATTTTCGCTTTGGGGAAATTCCTCATTCCTTCCCTGCACTGTAAGGATTACTCCACCTGAATGCAGTAAAGTCAGTCACACTGAGACCCTTGATTTTACATCTATAGTTGCCCCTATGTGAAAACATCTGGTCCACTTATGGGGAAATCTATGGTGCCACTGATAGGAGTCATAATTAAATGGAAGTTCAAAACCTGGAGAGATTTTTTTTCTTATCTGGTCTGTTTTAAAGGTTATTATAGATTGTTTCTTGGGGATAATCTAGGTTAAATGTGTGTCTAAAAGATGTTGTTTCATTGTAACATCTGGTATCTAAATGAGTTTGAAGCATTTCAGTTAAAATTTGGGATTAGGTAATTGTTTAGTTTGTGATTTCA